GTTATTGTTTCAATTAAAAATAACGTGCTATATTCTTTCATTTCTTGGGTCCATTGGGGAGATTTTTCTTGTTGCACTGAAGTTAACTAACATATATATAATCGATTCTATTCTTAGAATTAGCAGGAACCTACTTTGGGGGAGAAATTCAGGAAATATTCCTTGGTGCCTGAGCCAGTTTCTCAAATGGAAGGACACCACCCAAGGAAAAAAGGCTTTCCCCGTAGTGTAAATGTATGACTTGTTTTGTAAACCTTTTTGGCTTGGGACTCTCTTTCCTTTTGTAAATAGTTAATTGCCAAAATTTAGTTGCTCTTATTCTTTTTTTTTTTTTTATCCTCACCTGAGGACTTTTTTTTTTTGCATTTAGATAGAGTGGGAGGAAGAGAGAGAGAAACATTGACATAAAAGAGACACATCGAGTGGTTGCCACCCACAAGACATGAACCAGGGCAAGGACAAACTGCAACCAAGGTACGCGCCCTTAGTGGGAACCAAAGCCGGGACCTCTGGTTCACAGGCCGACACTCTAACCGCTGAGCCAAATCGGCCAGGGCAGTGGCTCTTATTTTTTTTATAATTTACTAGGCTATGTGATATTAGAACTACTGCCTCAGACTTTTCTTTCTTTTCTTTTCTTTTTTTTTTATCCTCACCTGAGGACATTTTTGTTCAGATAGAGTAGGAGGGAGAGAGGAAGAGAGAGAGAGAAAGAGAGAGAGAGAGAAACATCAATGTGAAAGGGACACATTGAGTGGTTACCTTCCGCACAACCCCAATCAGGGCTGGGGATGAATCGCAACCGACGTATGTTCCGTTGTCTGGAACTGAGCTCACGATTCATTGGTTCGCAGGCCAATGCTCTAACTACTGAGCAAAACTGGCCAGGGCAGACTTTTCTTAACAAAATCTCCCCAAATTGCAGTATAGTCTTCTGTAATACTGGTACTGGTACGCAATGCTTGGGGAAGTTCAATGGGATGCCTTTTTTTTTTTTTTTAAGCTCTAAATTTTCTCTGAAATTATTGTAGCCCAGGAGATCGACCAAACTCAGATGGGGTTTAATAAAAGGAGTTTATTGAGCTAAGTCCGCAGGCACCTGCAGTATGTCCCACACAGGAGTAACTGCGGCCCCGGAGAGCTAAAATGGCTCCTTTTTATAGGATTTTGTAAGGGGGTGTAAGCAAGCGTGTTACAGAAGCGGAATTTAGCAGTTAGTTAATTCCTGTTACTCAGTTTCCCAGACATCTCAAAGGTCAAGATGTTTTCAATAGATTATCCCTGGCGCCGACCCCAGGATTACTCAAGGGTTAGTTATTACCCCAGGGTTAGCGATTACTTAGGGATTAGTTAGTGAAGAATGTTCTTCAGTAAATGAGTAAACTGACAACCCCTTTGGTTGTCGTGAAGGCCTCTGGGAGTTTGGGTCAATGGCACTGAGTTATAACAAAATTACTAAAATAATTCAGGCTTGTTATAGTAAATAAAATACGTAAAGTAAAAAGTGATAGATTTTGGGCCACTAGTCTAAGTAACCACTGGACTCTATATACTACTAGTCATATTTTTATGCCCATGTGTAATATATAAACACAGCTACACTACCCATGTTTTTAAAAAATAAAATGCTTGGCAACTATTTTTGCCCAGCTGGTGTGGTTCAGTCATTGAGCATCAAACCATGCACCAAGGGGTCACCAGTTGGATACCTGGGTTTCAGGCTGGATCCCCAGTAGGGGGAGTGCAGGAGGCAGCCAATCAATGTGTTTCTCATTAGTATTTTTACCTCTCCCTCCCCCTCCCCCTCCCCCTCCCCCTCCCCCTCCCCCTCCAAAAAAATCAGTGAAACCATATTTAACCCTGGCTGTTTTGGCTCAGTGGTGGGATGGAAGGGTCACAGGTTCAATTTCTGGTCAAGGACATGTACCTGGGTTGAAGGTTCAATCCCCAGCTCCAGTTATGTGGGAGGCAACCAATTGATGTGTCTCTCTCACATCAATGTCTGCCCCCCCCCCCCACTCCATTTAAAAACTAGAGGAAAAATATCCTCAGGTGAGGATTAACAAAAAATAAAAAATTTCTATTCATTCATATGTGCATACATTCAATGAATACCTTGTGTATATAGTCATCTTTATTGTATTGCATAATATCCAAATGAATACATGTGTAATAATGTGTTTTATCATTTTACTACTAATGGATATTTAGGGTTATTTTTTAAAAAAATTTTTTTTATTGATTTTTAGAGAGAGAGGAAGGGAAAGGGAGAGAGAGATATAAACATCAATGAGAGAGAACATTGATTGGCTGCCTCCTGCATGACCCCAGCTGGGGATTGGGCCCACAACCTGGGCATGTGCTCTGACCAGGAATTAAACCGGCAACCTCTTGGTGCATGGGTCGATGCTCAACCACTGAGCCATACCGGCCAGATATTTAGGGTTATTTTAAGCATTACCTAAAAAGTGGAGTGCACATATCTTGTTCATATATCTTTGAAGTACTTGTGTGAGCATCTCTTCAGCATTGATTTCTAGATAGAAAATTACTGGATCAAAAGCTGGCAGGTTGCCTCAAACATGCCTGAAGCAGTGTTCACAAATATCAACGGTATTTGTATACAAATACCAACTTCCACATGAGTAACTAGCTGGGATTCAAATGGAAATGTAACACAGATTAAATGAGTTAAATATTGTGAAGCTCTTTGTATACTGCCTAGCATAGGGCAAGTACCTAACACCTATGAGCTGTTATTCATTTAGCCACCATGTTTTAGAGCAGCTTGCATAATGCTCAAGAAACAACATAGTTGCAACAGTAATGAAGAAAATATACTATAACATTGAGGAAGCTGGATCATTGTAAATATTCAATTGCATGGGTTGGTGCTCAACCACTGAGCCACACCAGCCAGACAAGGACTACTTTTAATGTTTGTTGGCCTTTACTAGGGTAGTCCCACGAGATGCAATGTAGTGTTCACATTGGGCAATAAGTAGATGGTGAATTGGAACCACTGAATAAATGATTTGATGTGAGGAAGATGGAAGAAGCAAGAGAAAAGCCCCTCACAAGGGAATGAGATAAAAAAAGGATAGCCCATCACCTTTTGCTTTAGCACTTTTTAGTAGACTACAAGCATACTTCAGAGATACTACTTGTTCGGTTCTAGACCATCGCAGTAAAGCAAGTATCCGAATTAAGTGAGTTGTAATAGTTTTGCTGAGGGGCAGAGGGGGTCTTGCCTTTGATTCATTTTTTTTTTTTTTTTTAAAAGAAACATCTGTGAAGTGCAGTGACATTAAAATAAGGTATGCCCGTATTACTGTGATTGTCTCTCTTTGCGGAAAAAAAATAAAAGCCATGTCAGTTATGTTTAATATTAGATGTCAAGTATGCTTTTCTTTTAAAGTGTACCATTTCATAGGAGAAGTATGTGACTAGAAAAATTTGGTTTCTTAAATGTTAACCATGCTTTGTCTCTAGTTGAGTTAGTGATAAACTCCCATTCATTAGGTGGAAATAAGCAGCAAAATGAAAGTTTAGTCCCTGCTTGTTTATTAGTCTTGGATAAAGTAGCCCTAGTTATCTGCTGGGAATGTGGAGCTCAGTTTAGATCCATCCTGTTGCGGTAACTTACTGGAAGAGGAGCACTAACACAGTGCTCGGCATTAAGAGTCATAACTGTATACATTGCTGGCCGTACCTTCCCAAGAGAACCGTGTGCACGGTTGCTACCTCTTCCTTCTTCACAACATCTGGAAAGAAGGCCTTTCTTATTAAGCAGTTTTAAAGTGTGCTCAATTTGATTGGTTAGGGAAGACTTAGGCAAAGTAGCCTAGAAGGCATCTTCAACAAATACATTAAGGTTTAATTGCCTGAAACATCCAGTGCAGGTGTGCAGTGGAGAGTTTGGGTATGCATTACTCAATAAGATAAGGAGAGAACTGAACTTGAGATACAGGTGACATCTGGGTGGTTATTAAAACTAGGAGTAGATGAGATGGATTATCCTGAAATAGCAGAAAAGGCAGCCTTGAAGGGCTCGAGGAAGAGGATTTTACAAAGAAGTGAATAGAGATATAAAAGCAGAAGAGTATGGCCTTAATGGAAGCCAAAGGAAGACAGTGTAAAAAGAAGACAGGTCAGTGTTGTCAAATGTGACAGGTCAAGTAAATTAGGGAAGGAGTAAAAAATGTCTGATTGTGATTTTGCTGAAATTGGTGATACTGGTAAGAACAATCTAAATGGCATTGTTGGAGTAGGCACTACTAAAGAAAATATGCAGTAAAATGAGAACCAAGTCCATGCATCTGTTCAACAGCACTGTATTGCACACTTGGGTAATAGGTATGGGGTTACCAGAAATGAAGACAATGTATGTAGTTAAATTTTTGAAAAAGGCTTGCTTGATACTAAGGGAAGGAGTGTGTAACTAACAGGAGACAAGGGGTTGTGAGTTCTTTTGTTTTTAAGATAGAGAATTGGATTGGGTCTGTTTAAATGTGAATGAAAATGAACTGGCTTTGAGGGAGAAGTTGAAAATAAAGCTGGGAAGGGTAGGAAACAATGACTTTAGCAAGATACAGGAGAACCTGGAGATGGGAAAAAATTAAGTTTTACTTAGTAGGTGGTGGGAAGGAGATTAGGTGGATCTGGATGTTAAAAAATGTCCTATGTTTTGAGTAAAGTAGAACATGGTCATGGGATGGGTAGTGTTGGGAATCAGAGTTAGAGGAAGGTGCAGGTTTGAAATAACAAGGGTGAGGGAGAAGGCTGAACAGGAGGACAGGACAGACGATATCCTTTGTTTTCTCCTTTAGCATTTAGAAGACTGGATAAAGGTGTGGATAGGCAGTCAGTCAGGTAGTTAAAGATAAGATTTGTTAGCTAAGTGAGAGATAGGAGAGTGTAACACCACAGAGTGGTTGAAATAATTTTATGTTGAGTACTGATGATTTGTGTCAATCCAAATATGAAATTTTGCCTGGCAGGAGCAGCAGAAAGACAAGGAAGTCTGTGATACTGGGAAGAGACTGACGGAAGCAGCGGTATTGTTGTCTTAAGTTGAATAGAACTGACAGTAAGGATAAAAATGAAAGTAGAGGATCTAGGGACTGAAGTCCTAATGAGATGCAAGACCAGGCGTAGTGAACATTTGCTGAGAGAGCTGGTAGAAATATGACATTTATACTTAAAATTTCAAAGATGGAGCAGTTTTGGGATAATAAGATTCAGCCTGTGTCCTATAAGTATTAGATAACTTAAGTGGATTGGAAATCAAGATCGTTGTGTTGAGGTTGAGGAACAATGACAGAATTTTGGATGGGTCAGTGAACCCGGTTCCAAAGTATAGTTTAATTATTTTCTTTGATACATTACCTGAAGTGATGTTACTAGGTCAAATATACACCGCCCCCCCCCAAGTAAAAAAAAAAAGTTTTGGCATTTTGGCACATTGCTCTCAAAACCTTTATCATTTGATACTCTCATTCTGACAATGTATCTCTTCACACTTAATACCAAGAATTATTCAGGACAGTCTTTGCAATATTAATAGTCTATTGGACTAAGAATGTCTGGCACTAAAATCTATGCTATGGCTGCCCTGCCAGGTGTTGGAACTGCCAGCACCACAGATGCAGCTGGCTGTGCTGCACCTGTGATGTTAGGGCAAAGAGGAAGTGGCTTTATATATATGCTTTTGGTTACTTTTTTTGACTGTTTAATTGTGAATTACCTGCCCCTGTCATTTGTCCCTTTTTTCTGTTGGCACAAGAACCTTTTGATACCATTTCACTTTTCTTAATTAATTTCTTTGATTTGCATTTGTCCTTTTAGTATTTGTCTTGTTATTTCTATTCGAATTGTGTGCTTAGTTTATTAATTTTCTTTCTTTGTTTAATAATAAACACTGCTAGTGTTAGTCTGATTACTTTTTTAGGCAAACCATATAGGTATTGATGTGTATAGAGTTCTCATTGTTATGTTCCTAATATTCTTTAAGCACAGTTTTTTTGTTTGTTTGTTTTTTTCCCTTTATTGATTTTAGAGGGGGAGGGAAGGAGAGGGAGAGAGAGATAGAAACATTGATGAGAGAAAACATCAATTGGCCTCCTCCTGCATGCCCCGCCCCCACTGGGGATTTGGCCCACACCTCGACATGTGCCCTGACCGGGAATTGAGCTGGTGACCTCTTGGTGCTTGGATCAGTGCTCAACCACTGAGCCACATGGGCTGGGATTCACAGTTTTTATTTCTTTGAAGCAAATGTTGTTTACTAGTAAATTTTTGAAGGTGCTTTATTGTTGTTTTTGTCCTACTTAATTTACAAGAGATTTTTTTTTTCTCCTCGTCCTTTTTTATATACAAAGCTAAAAGAGTGATCTTTGCTTATTTAGACTTTTAAAAATACTGAAATAGTCTTTGTGGCCTAAACTGTCAAAATAATATTCTATGTGGGTCCTAGAAATAAAAATAGAGTTTTTATTGGATAGAAACTATATTAAATCTGAGTTGCCTGCTCATCCTGACCCGGAGATTCCTGCTGCTTTCTTTTATTTTTTGTTTCATATATATATTTTTTTATTTTTTTAAACATATTTTATGCTTTATTAATTTACCCATTCAGCAAGTAATAACCGAACACCAACTATGTGCTAAACTGCTATGTACTGTTCTGAATATTGGATTCATTCATACTGACATATGTGGTCTGTAATTCATGATTTTCACCAAGCAGTCACAGTTGCAAATATTGCATCGCTTCTTTCTTCCTTTCTTAAAAAAAGTGGAAAGAAATTTATCATTCACCAGAGTGCTCTAACCAAGCTCTGCCACCACTCATTTAACTTCGGGCAAGTCATTTAGCATGTAAGATAGCACTTCTCAAGCCTTATGTTTTCAGTATCCCTTTATACTTAAAAATTATCAAAGACTTTAGAATATCTTTTGTCTGTATGTTTGTTTATTGATATTTACATATTAGAAAGGAAAACACATATTTTACATATTAATTTAAACATGATAAACCCAGTCCATGTTATAATTAATTTTTTTGCATGAATTATGTTCCAAAACAACAACAAAAAGTAGTGAGAAGACTGACATTGTTTTCCTCTTTTGCAAATCTCTTTAATGTTTGCTTAATAGAAGACAAATGAATTCTCATCTGTGTCTGCGTTTTAATTTTTGTGTGATATCACATGCTTTGTAGCCTCTGGAAAACTTGAGGATATACTTGTGAGAAAATGAGAGTGAAAAAGGCAATTAATTCCTTTTGACCTTACAGACCACTTGATAATGTCAAATAAACATTCAGGACTCCCTGGACCTCACCTTGAGAATCTCTGTTGTAAGCCTTAGCATCCAATAGCAATATAGGTTTAGCTAGATTATCTTTAAAGGTTATTCTGTCTCAGAAATTTACATAGTATATTTTATTTTCCACTGTTATCATCAATTGTTAACTGAATGTATAGGTAAAGTCAGAACTGCATAAATGTTATTTAAAGCAGGGCAGACCATAGAGTTGTTGTAGAAGTTGTGGACTCCTGTATTTTTTTAAATTTTATTTTATTGATTTTTTTGAGAGAGAGATTGATTGGTTGCCTCCCACATGCACATGGACAGGAATCGAATCCTCATCCTGGGTATGTGCCCTCACAGGTACTCAAACCTGCCACCTTTTAATGTATGGGATGATGCTCTAACCACATCAGCCAATGTGACTTGTACTTTATATTCTGGACCACACCCAGCATAGTTTGCCATTTAATAGACAACAAATTTACTAAATTTGATATTACCATAGAATTTGTATTCATAGTTTACTGATGTTGAGTTCAGATTATTCTGAGTTGAGTGCTTTCTTATAAAGTTATTACTTATGTTAGTTTTAAATTTGAAATTTGGAACAGAAGAAAATAGTGAGTTGAGTCTTCTGATGGATTTCTACACCAAGGAACATCAGAATAGCTGTGATGCTACTAACCCATTTTAGGAAGATCAGTGTAGCGAGTGTGATTTATATAATACTTGCAAAATACTCTGCTTCAGAGGTTGGAGTCAGAAGAGCTGTTTATAGGTTTTAGCACTACTTAGTAGCAATGTGATTTGTCAAGGATATTTAAACCTCTTTATTTCTGTTTCCTCATCCATAAAATTAAGTGGATGATATTCCCATTTGTTGTAGAGTTTTGAGGGTTATGTGAATTTGTGTGTGTTAACGTACTTTAAGCCATATAAACATTACTATCTTTTTGTGTGTGTGTGGAAGACTACTATAGCTTTTTAATTGTACAAAGGAACCCTCTCTTTGTACTCTTTGTATCCCTATCAGACAGTTTTCACCTAAAGTTCAGAACTATCAACTTTTACACAGTTTTTGGAACTATTCTGGGAATTTGAAGGAAATGGAATTTTCCCCCTTGTTTCTTTTTTCTTTAAGGTAATGAAACTAGTTCCATTATATTTCCTTGCCTTTTTACTCTCATGCCACCCTACTTTCTGATCAGTTAGTTTCAGGAAGTGATAGGCTTCATCATGAGTCCATTGTCACGTAATTTTAGGAATTGAAGAGAACATAAAGATCATCACTGTATTCTAGTCCCTTACTTTATAGATGCAGCTGATGCTGAGAGGAAACCAAAGTACTTGCTTAAGATCATTTAAGTAGTACGGTGATTCTCAGCCTTGCTGAACTTGGAACTACCGGTAGTAGAGCTTTTAAAAAAGTATGTCCAGACTCCACCCTAAGAAATGATGCTTTTCATTAGTCTTTATAAAGCCCCCTTAGGTGATTATAATGAAACACACCCCACTTTTAAAGTAAATCATTTGCCTGATAACATTCACATTTAATTTTTCTTATTACAGATGGAACTGTTTTATTTTTTAGACCTTGTCTTTATTATCTTACTTCAGGAAATAAGCCCATAAACTTTATAATGAGAATCAAAACTTTGATGTTGAAAACCTTTATTTTAAATAGATTTATCAAGTCAACTGATACCATTTTTTAAAAATGTGTGTGTAACATATGGTAAAACAAAGTATATACTTATTGTACATAATAATATGGGTTTAACTTAATGATTCTTTTGATATGATATTGTAAAGACATGATAATTAAGTTTTTGGAAGCATTAATATGTATACAAGTTTTTCTTGCATCATTTATTCAGATTCTGGACTGTCATTTGTTGTTTAGACTTTTTTTTTTTTTTTTTAATCTTTGTTTTTCCTGTAGGTTAAAGCATTGAAAGAGAAGATTGAATCTGAAAAGGGGAAAGATGCCTTTCCTGTAGCAGGTCAAAAATTAATTTATGCAGGTATGGATAGAATATTGAAATTTATGTGCCATTTTATACCTCACTGTGATACTCGTTTAGTTTTAGGAATCGTCATTTTATGAATTGTAGTGTATACAAATTGATTCTGTCAGAAACATGGTTATATAAGTGGAAGCAGTGAATGAACAGTCATTTGAATATTCAGTCCCCTCTTTATTCACATTTGCTTTATATCTATCTATTGATCTATCTATCTAATGGTGTTAGTTTTGTTTTCTGTAAGTTTTTGTATTTTTTCTTTTGTTTTAATTTTTTATCCTCACCTGAGGACATTCTTGCATTTATCTTCAGATAGAGCAGGAGGGGGAGAGGGAGGAAGCGAGAGAGAGAAACATCGATGAGAGACACAGCGACTGGCTGCCACCCACACGACCCAAACAGGGGCTGGGGATGAACCGCGCAACCAAGGTACATGCCCCTAGCGGAAACCAAACCCAGGACTCTCCAGTCTCTGAGCCAACACTCTAACCACTGAACAAAACTGCCCAGGGCAGTTTTTGTATTTTTAAAATTAATTTCTATTGAATAAAGTTGATGTGTAACATTGTGTAAGTTACTGGTTACAAGTTCGTACCATTAAACAAAAATACCACTCTTAGCCCTTCCCCACCCTAGTAACCAGTCTTCCCTGGTAACCACCATTTTACTCTGTTTTTTAGTGGTTTAACTTTCTTAGATCCCACATTTAAGGGATACCATACAATACTGTGTTTTTCTTTGTCCAACTTATCTCACTTAGCATATTATCAAGGTCTGTCCCTGTTGTCATAAATGTGATATCTTTCTTTCTTGTGGCTGAATAATATTCTATTGTGTGTGTCATTTTTTTTTTTTTTTTTTAAATCCATTCATTTTTGATGTGCCTTTGGACTGGCTGTTTCCATATCTCAGCTGTTGTGAATAGTGCTATAATAAACATGGGAATACACATATCTGGTTGAAATTCTGTTTTCCTTGGGTATATATCCATAAGTGGAATTGCTAGATTGTATAGTAGGTCTATTTTTAATTTTTTGAGGAACTTTCATATTGTTTTCCATATTGGTTGTACCAAGTTACATTCCCATCAATAATGTATAGAGTTCCCTTTTCATTATTTTGTTAATTGTTCTTTTGCTGTGCAAAAACTTGTGAGTTTGGTGTAGTTCCATTTGTTGATATTTTTCTTTTGTTGTGTTTGTTGTTTTGGTATCATACCCAAAACATTGCCAAGAACAATATTGATGAGCTTCTTTGTACACTTCTTTTTCTTTTATTATTGGATTTATTGGGTTCCCTACATTTTATTCTAGGAGTTTTATGATATCAGGTCTGATGTTGAAGTTTTTGATCCATTTTTAGTTGATTTTTCTGAGTGGTGTAGATACAGGGGTCCAGTTTTTTTGTTCTGCCTGTGTTTCTCCAGTTTTCCCAGCATTGTATATTGAAGAGACTCTCTGTTCCCTGGCTTTTGTATTTTTAATCAATCTGTGAATCTTTTTTTTTTTTAATCTGTTGAAATGAAACCATTTATAATGATTATGTGTTGTGATGTGCTTGGAATCATTCCTGTCAAATTAAATTTTAGTTTTTCTTTTTATTTTAATCCTCACCTGAGGATATGTTTTACGGATTTTAGAGCAAGGGGAAGTGGGGAGGAGAGAGAGAGACATCGAAACATTGATGTATGAGAGAAACTTCAATTGGTTACCTGCCCTACACACCCCTACTGGGGATCAAACCTGAAACCTAGGGTATGTGACCTGACTGCGAATCCAACAGGCAACCTTTTGGTGCACAGGATGAAGCACCAACTAACTGAGTCACACCAGCCATGGCTCTGTGACTGGTTTTTGTTTGTTTTGTTTTGTTTTAAAAAAAATACCAAAATTTACTGAAGCATATAGAAAACCTTGTATGTCAAAAGACACAATAAATAAATAAAAGAAAAATTTAATATTCAGGTTACATAGCCCTGGCTGGTTTGGCGCATCGACTGTCAGCCCGTGGACCAGAGAGGTCCGGGTTTGGCTCCCACTAAGGGCACGTACCTTGGTTGCAGTAATTCAGGTTATATAAAGAGCTGTTAGAAAATAATAAGGAAAGGATCATCCAATTTTAAAAGCTACAAAGGATATGAATAGGAAGTTGTATTACTAGTCTTACTTAGTAACAAGGAAAATGTATTTTAAAAATAGACTTGAGCCTGGCTGGTGTGGCTTAGTGGTTAGAGCCTTGAACCAAACACCAAAGGGTCTCGTGTTTCATTTGTGGTCAGGGGAATTTACCTTGGTTGCAGGTTTGATCCACAGCCCCTGGGGCATGTGCTGCAGGCAACCAATTGATGTGTCTCTCTCACATCAATGTTTTTCTCTTTCTTTCTACTCCCTTTCCTTCCTGCCTTCCACTCTCTAAAAACCAATCGAAAAAAATATCCTCAGGTGAGGATTAACAAAAAATAATAGTAAATAAAAATACTTAATATTTGACTTTTACAGAGAAAATGCTTTTCTTCATTTTCCAAAATCAACATATATTGTTATAGATGTCAGTAACTCTTCCTAGATAGAGATTTTGTGGTATTTTCTTAACTGAGGTGGTTTAAGGAAAACATTAACCTCAAAAGGATCAGAATCCTTAAGAGGCAGGTCATTGGTGGCAGACATAAAACTAGAATTTCTGGTTCCTAGTCTTGGTTTGTTTTCTCAATCCCATAAAGAGTAGAGAGACTATTCCTTTTGGTTTTTTAATGCCTGTAGCCTTTTATTCAATAACTTTTTTAAGATGGAAAATAAATTCAAGGTAAAGGAAACCTGAAGGAATTCCCAACCTACCATTTGACCTTTAGCATTACCAGTCTTACATACTTCTTTGTGTCTTTCCCAGCTGTATGTCATCTTGTCATTTCTGTATACTAAATCATTTTCTGAAGTACTTTTTGTCAGGAGTATCACACTTTTATAGCATTGAAACATTTCTATTTTTCCAGGTGTCTCTTATTTGTGGGAGCAGAAAGTTTGTCCTTTTCTCCTTTCTCCCATGAAGAAGGATTATAGGTTATTCCCCAGTGGGAATCCTTGTGCAATCTCAGTATTGAATTTTTATTTGTCTTTATAATTTTCTTTCTTTGGACCTAGTTAATGTTTCCTTAACCAACAGGTCTTTTTTTATAAGTAGTAATTTTTAAGAATTGCTTAGGATATCTATATATTATATATGTGTTTGATATCTTTTAATCAAGTGCTTATTATGCCTTCTTAACTGTGTTTAATTGTATTTCCATTTATATTTATCCTCATCTTGGCTAATGGGTTAATGTTTTTCTTTTGGGAAAATATTAATTGATAGAATTGACATTTGGTGATTATTTTAACTTCAGTTACATGCAAGACAAAGTTTACTTTGCAACTTAAATAACGTGATTGTTTTTTCTTAATATACTAGGCAAAATCCTCAATGATGATACTGCTCTAAAAGAATATAAAATTGATGAGAAAAATTTTGTGGTGGTTATGGTGACAAAAGTAAGTTTTTGACTTATTGTATATCTTCATGCATGTGAGTTTTCAAATAATAATGATCCCAAGTCCAGCCTTTCTACCCTTCAGTGAATATAGTTTATTCACATCCGTAGTGGCGTGCACTTAAGTGTTTTTAAAGGTTTTAAAATTTACCTTGGGTCAACCCAACTTAATAATTTTACACACTTACAGTTTGAACATAATTTTATTCATTTATTTATTTTTAAATATATTTTTTATTGATTTTTTTAGAGAGAGAGGAAGGGAAAGAGAGATAGAAATACCAGTGTGAGAGAGAAACATCAATCGGCTGCCTCCCGCACGCCCCTTACTGGGGATCGAGCCTGCAACCATGGGCATGTGCCTTGATTGAGAATCAAACCAGGACCTCTCAGTCCATGGGACGATGCTCAATTCACTGAGCCACACCGGACAGGCTTGCACATAATTTTAATTAAATTAAAACAATTGATATATAGGATGTCATGTTAAGAATTGTTAGGTTATGCCCAGCCGCTGTGGCTCTGATTGAGCATCAACCCATGCACCAGGAGGTCACTGGTTCGATTCCCAGTCAGCACACATGCCCAGGTTGTGGGCCAAATCCTCAGTAGGGGGCATGCAGGAGGTAGCCAATCAATGTTCTCTCTCATTGATGTTTCTGTGTCTCTCTCCCTCTCCCTTCCTGTCTCTAAGATCAGTAAAGAAAATAAAAAGGAATTGTTAGGTTTTGCTGGAGTAGTATTATTACTTATTACATAATTATTAGAAAATGTGATTCTTGGAAATAGAATTAATGTTCCTTATTTTCTAGTTTTTAATGAGGGTACCTTAAATGAACTTGCTAAATTATGTACTATACCTCACATACTTCTCAAAGTTTTGTAGCAAAGGCGTGTAGATTCATAATTTCATTGCTATTTCTTAGTTAGTAGGATAGGTTTTTAGAAACTGAAAAGGAAAAGGCAGCTGGAAAAAAGATGGAATGATTATTGTGACAAAGTTTTAACAGGAACTTGTTTGTGATTTATTACACTGAAATATATTTGGAACAAGTTATAAAAGCCAAAGTTGTTCTCTGAAGCAGAAATAAATATATATTATTTCAGAGATTTTATTTATATACATATTCAACAGTACGTAAGCATGCAGTGAAGAATTAAGACAGAAAAATGGTAGTACTCATGACATTAATTTTTAGGATTGAATTGTCATAATCTGAGAAGAATAATGTTATTTGTGGCACCAAAAATAAGTTGAGCCTTGGCCGGTTTTGCTCAGCGGTTAGAGCTCCGGCCTGCGGTCCAGAGAGACCCAGGTTCGGTTCCCGCTAAGGGCGTGTACCTCGGTTGCAGTTTGTCCCCTGCCCAGGTTGGGTTGTGCGGGTGGCAATCACTTGATGTATCCCTTTCACGTCGATGTTTCTCTCTCTCTCCCTCCCACTCTATCTGAACAAAATATGAAAAAATGTCCTTGGGTGAGGATTAAAAAAAATAAATAAATTTAAATTAGAAGCCAGAATATCCAAGACCAAAAATAGAATAAATATAGTGTCTTTTTCATCCTCACAGGTGGATATGTTTTTATTGATTTTAGAAAGAGAGAGAAAGAGCAACATGGATGTGAGAGAGGAACATTGATCAATTGCTTCCCATACACGCCCTGAACAGGAATCAGACTCGCAACTTTTTTGGTGTATGAGATGATGCTCCTGCTGAACCACTTGGCAAGGGCTAAATATCGGTTTTAAAGTCAAAAAATGACTTTGTAGTATTCGAGCACAGCACTTACTCGTTAAATGTTAAACTTTAAATACAGAGGAACGTAGCACATGAGGAAACTTTATCTCATGTAGTATTTTTAAAAAATAAACATCACATAACATTTACTGATTCAACCATTTTTAAGTGTATGGTCTATTGTCATTAAGTAGTTTTACATTGTGCATCCATCACCACCATCAGTTTCCAGAACATTTTTCATTTTCCCAAACTGAAATTGTGCTCATTAAACAGTAACTTTCCATCCACACCTCTCCTCCACCTCTGCATATCTATATACTTCATGTAAATGGAATCATATAGTATTTGTCCTTTTGTGACAGACTGACTTTAATCCATGTTGTAGCATTACTGTCCTTTTTAGGGCTGAATAATATTTCATTGTCTCATCTAGTTTTATCATATAGTACACAATGGAAAATGTGGTGGCCACACATTTGGATATATATTTGTTATTGGTTTTATTACCATTAGTATTACAGTAACCTTGACTGTTAGAACATAATTAAGTATTAGCAGGATAGGTCTCAGAATAGTTGCGTGCATTTGAAGAATAGCTACTTGGAGCCTACCTAGCCTGTTCTTATTTTACATGGGATTCCAGTGATACTTGTGGTTGCTTTATTTTAAAGTTAGTAGTTATTAGAAGGGGAAGAAGACTGCTATAATTAGGATTATGAAAGTAATGAGAAATGATCTTATTACAAGGAAAAGACAGGAAAAAACAATTAAGATTAAAAGTAAACAGAAAAACTTCAAAAAACAGGCTGGTTTGGTACTGTTTAGAAGGAGGTTTAAATTGCTCTTCGTGGCAACAGAGACCTGCGGGGGCATGGTATGTTATAATATAGTGATTGCAGACTATCTTAAGGGAAATATTAAATGGGCAAAATGCATTTAAATTACATTTTTATCTAGATTGGCGTTTTAGAACATTAATAATTTGCAGTATTTAATTGGCAATTTAAAAAGTTAATAGAGCTGAATACATGTAGGGAAAGGAGGTGATTAGTGCTATTTTTTAAAGTTCCTTATCTTGCACTAGCCACTTTTTTTCTAATGCACTTTGTACTGGCTCAAATTGAACAAGACATAAGTCAACTCATTGCTTCTACAATTTGTTGGTGCAAATTATGTGGAATTTAAATCCCATCTTCCATCAAAACAGTAACCTTTTTTCATTAGGAAAGTTATAAGCTAAATAGGTAGTGAGCATTGATATGCCTTAGGAGAATAAAAAGACTTCTAACAGTTTGATTTTTACCCATATATAATTGCTTTTTGTTCTGTGAGAATCCTTATGGCTCTGCTTCTAGTTCTGCTTCTAGTTCAGAAAGTGTGGAGCATGTGGTCATAACTTTATTTAGCATTTATTATTATTTTAACTATATATACATCTCAGAAGGTTATGTTAACCTCTTTGTACTTCTGTCTACTCAGTTAAATGCTGACTTTTTTTCATATTAACTTGATATGAAGACTGAAACTGTTGGCTGAAGCTAATTGAGGTTGATAGTTAAGATAATATATATTCTTTCATCAGCTTTGAAAGAGTAACAGCGATTCAGAGTCCTAATATTGACTATTATGTCACTTTACTAAGTTGTTTTTAAGTTACGAGTTTGTATTATTACTATTGAGTTTGTAGTATCCTGTAACAATACAGTCTAATCAGATAATAATGTAGTCTTTTATTGAAATTCATTATTTTGCTTTTTAATGTGTTTAGCCCAAACCAGTGACTACACCAGCACCAACAACAACTCAGCCATCGAATCCTGCCACCACTACTACAGTTAGTTCCTCCACGGCACCAGCTGTGGCTCAGGTCCCAACCCCCACCCCTGCTTTGGCTCCCACTCCCACACCTGCATCTGTCACTCCAGCATCAACAACAGCATCTTCTGAACCTGCACCTGCCAGTGCAACAAAACAGGAGAACCCTGCAGAAAAGCCAGCAGAAACACCAGTGGCTACCAGCCCGACATCAACTGACAGGTAAGAACTGGATTCTAAAAAATTATATCTTAAAATATATTCATAATAAGAATTTCACTTATTAATTTATTTTGCTTATTGTTTTGATCAAATTAACTTTCTACTATGTTAAACTTTTTCTAAACTTCAAACTCTGACGAAAATAGTGTTACTACTTGTATCTTTAAATTTCCATGATCCAGATTTGTATACTCTACCCCATCCCCAGAGGGAAAGGGAAGAAGGATCAAAGTCATTATTCATTTTGTGTAGAAAAGTTTGGAAATGCAAATGACCAAAAAGAACTATAAAATAATATAGCTTGACATATTATAAATAACTTATCCCCCCCAGCATTATTTATATTTGATCTATATTCTTTCCGATCGTTGGTGTGTACATGATAAGCTTTTTTCCATGTCAGTGAATATTTCCAGTTGCTGCATAACACTGTGGTTAGGACTGACATTTGTTAGCTCTTGACCTTAAAGAAATAATTAACATCTTCATCTGTAAAATGTAAATGGCAGTAGAACCTGTCTCATCTAGTTGTTGTAAGAATTAAATGGAATAATGAGTGTAAGAGAGGTGAAATAGCACATGGCAAACACTAAGCACTGAGTAAATAGCAGCTGTTGTGACTATTTCACCTATCACCTTTTGTTTGAACATGTGGATTGTTTTAATTTTGCCATGTTTCATCTTTGTGAACGTGTAGAAATTTAAGTTCTTACCTGTGTAGATCTTTAAAACAAAAGAAAACGTGCTGGGATATTTTGGGAACAAGAAATAATTTCTTGCGGCAAGTTGGCAGTTAGGATATTGAGTAGTTTATGACAAAGACTTTTTTCTCCCTAATAATAAATAAAATAACCAAAGCATATACTTCCATTCTCTTGGCTTGAAATTGTACAAAGGAATCCCAACTTTATGTGAGAACATGCATTATATTATGTCTAGTGTGGTCTTCGGAGCTGTTTTTATTTTGTGACTTTAGTGCAGCTCAGGACCTCAGTGGCAGTAGCTGGAGTCCTTGGAATCAGAACCAGACACAATGGAAAACTGCAGTAATTTGCTTTTATTTCCCAAAATTATGCACCTCAGAGAAGGATAACACAGGAAGGGAAGGATGAGAAGTGCTCAGAAAACAGGCTACTTACCTCTACCTTAGTCCTTTCATCTGTGCCATAAAACAGTTAGTGTCCTGTAAAAGGCACAAAATTTAGTGAGATGATTATCAGGAGATATTCTGGTATGAATATGAGGGGGTGTAAGAAAGTTTGTCTATCACTACTGGCCTGACATTTTATTAGAGATTTGTTTCTTATGTCAATTTTGTTCTTTAGAAACTATTATAGCACAAATTCCACTCTTAGTTCATTCTCTGAGGTTAATAAGCTGACTTAGAGGTATTGCACTTGTGCACAAGAACTGTGTTGTTTGTAATTGAGGACAAATTGTAACCAAACTAAATATTCATTAGTATGGGAATGACCTGCCCTGTGACTTATTCCTATTAGAGAACAGTGCTACTCAAAGTGCAGCAGTCAGTAGGCAGCATAGGCATCATTGGGAGTTTGTTTGAGATTAATTCTTGGACTTCACCTCAGACCTCTAAATCAAACTTACCTGGGGGTAGGTCCCAAAAGTCTGTATTTAATAAGCTCTCCTGGTGAATTCTTTAGACTTCCTAAAGTTTGAGAAGCTCTGATATCCAGTACCACAGGCCAGTGAAAGTATGCACTCTAGATTCATATTGAATGTAGTTTCAAAGCCTTGTTATTAAGTGTAAAAAGTAGATTGCAAAACAATACAGGTAATAACCGTAAATAAAACAAGCCACAAACAACATTGTATATTTCTGTGGGTTTGCATATTAATGTGTAGAAAAACGGTAGCAAAGGGACAGTACACTGACTGATCAGTGGTTTCCTCTGCGGTTGGGAAGGGGGAAGAAGTGGTGAGGAGAAATGAAGAATGGTGGTTAAATGATGTCTCAGTCTTAGCTGGAATGTTTAAAAAGAAATTTTAAAGCAATGTGGAAAAATAGCATAACTTATTCTGTAAAGCACAATAATGAAAGGGACTAATCCTACCAGATAGTAAAATGTATTATACATGGTAACAATTATAACAATTTAGAATGGCTCTTAATAGAGAGGCTGCAAATTGAAATAGACAGTAGTCTAGAAACAGACCAAATTACATATAAGGGCTTACTATAAGATAAAGATGTAATTTCATACCATTGTGGGAGAAAGGCTGTTGGGATGAATGCCTAACCTTCTGGAGGATGGATCAAATACCTTACACTCACAAAAATAAATTCTACATGGATAAAGATTGAATGTAAAAGTGAAACCGTAAACTAGAAGAGAACGTGGGAAAAATTAATCTTAACCAAAAAAGTCATTAAAGGGGAACGATTAATAAATTTGACTATAGAAAGAATTTAAATGTTGCCAACCAAACAAAAATTCCTTAATAAGCCCTGGCCAGTTTGGCTCAGTGGTTAGATCGTCGGCCTGCTGTCCAGAGAGACCCAGGTTCGGTTCCCGCTAAGGGCGTATACCTCAGTTGCAGTTTGTCCCCGGCCCTAGTTGGGCCCTGCAGGAGGCAGCCACTCAATGTGTCCCTTCCACATTGATGTTTGATGTTGATGTTGATGTTTCTCTCTCTCTCTCTCTCTCTCTCTCTCTCTCTCTCTCTCTCTCTCCCTCTCCCTCTCCCTCTCCCTCTCCCTCTCCCTCTCTCTCTTCCTCTCTCTCCTTCCCACTCTATCTGAACAAAAAATGGAAGAATGTCCTCAGGTGAGGATTAAAAAAAATTCCTTAATAAGAACTTGATTTGGTCAATTAAATGGAGTACTGTGCATCTGTTGGAGAAACTTGAGGTAGTTGTGGCTGACATGGAATAACTGTTAAGTTATATGAAACATACTCAAAAGAGGACAAAAGTGATGATTGTGTAAAAATTGGTAGTGGTGGTTGTCTCTGGGCAGGGCTCTTGTGCAGATGACTTAGTTCCCAAATATATATATATATTTTTTTAAGTTTTGCCTTCCGCACATGCTAACTTTACTATCTAGTTTTCTCAGAACTGAAGTATATATTGTGTTTTTTTTTTTAATTGGGTAAGAAGTATAAGTGTGTGTTGTCTTGTGTATATGTTTTAATCTAAACTGCTAACTGTGCTACCTTTACCACTTTTGTAAACTTTGGTTTATTTTTCTTTGGCCCACTCTTCATGGTCTTTTTATTTTTTATTTTATTTTATTTTTTTTTATCCTCACCCAAGGACATTTTTCCAGTTTTGGTTCAGATAGAGTGGGAGGGAGAGAAAGGAAGAGAGAGAGAAACATCAACTGAAAGGGACACATCGAGTGGCTGCCACCCTCACGACCAACCAGGGCCGGGGACAAACTGCAACCGAGGTACGTGCCCTTAGCAGGAACTGAACCTGGGTCTCTCTGGACTGCAGGCTGACGCTCTAACCACTGAGCAAACCAGCCAGGGCTTCATGGTCTTTTTATAATCCTGTTTTTGTCTACTGTGTTTTCCAGGCTCATCTGCAATTGCCCAACAGAAACTTAGTCTCTTTAAACTGGTTTACTTTCAGTTACAACTTGGATTTAACCCTCTTCTGCATTTTTTGTTTATGCTGTATTCCTTGACTTTGAATGCCTTTTTTTTTTCCCCTTCAGTTTTGTGTTCAAAACTACATATAAGATCTAACTGAAATTCCACTATGTAAAGACTTCCCAGGTCTTTCTAGCCTGATGCAGTTTCTACATGTGTTATTTATCATGTACTGCTCTTGGTATTTCAACTATGATTTGAATTATAGATTATTTAACTTAATTATTTCAGGGAAATAGTTGTGCTTTATCCTTTTTTTATTTAAATAGTAAGCTATCTGTGAGGATGCTATTTTAAATCTTTGGACACTTAAAATTAAGGATTTGTAGAACAGAATGAGTATTAAGATTGAAAGTTCTTCCCAAGCTATAAATGTTATAAAGCATTGAGATTTACTTTAGAAGACTGTTTTTAATACTATAGCCAGACTTTTAACATTTACTTAAAATCAAAGAAACTTTTTACAAATCAGAATTACTAAACTTTAATTTAAATTTTACATACTTTCTGATAAGATTTTCTAAAAACCTTTTACAGTACATCAGGAGATTCTTCTCGGTCAAACCTTTTTGAAGATGCAACAAGTGCGCTTGGTGAGTATCTACGTTGTAAACAACCCTATAAGAGATAGGGAAGAGGTTTAAGTTTATTTTTCTAGATCATGATAATGTGTTTGTTTTCATCGTTTATAATCAAGCTGTCACATAATTGATTTAGATCATTATTTAATTAATAATGTTATAAAGACTAAATGTTTTATGTATTGATTCTTTTTTTTTTCAAGATGGGTTTTTAAAATTTTTAATTACAGTTGACATTCAATGTTATATTGGTTTTGTGTGTACAGCATAATGGTTAGACATTTATATAACTTACAAAGTGATCCCCCAATATGTCTTGTACCCACCTGGCACCGTATATAGCTATTACAATTTGTTGACTATATTCCCTAAGCTGTACTTTATACCCCCATGACTATATTGTAACTGCCGGTTTGTACTTCTTTATCCCTTCACCTTTTTGAGCCAACCCTGCAATCTCCAACCCATCTGGCAACCATCAGTTTATTCTCTGTATCTATGAGTTTGTTTCTGTCTTGCTTATTTTCTTTTTCAGATTTCACATATTAGTGAAATTGTATGGTATCTGTCTTTTTCTGTTCAACTTATGTCACGTACAATGCATTCTAGGTCCATTTATATTGTCAGAAGTATACATTGAATCTTTTAAATTGTACAGTTAGTGTTAAGCATACTTTTTCCTTAAAGCACATACTTTTTATTTTCCAAATGTGAATTTTAAATGTGATCTTAACAAAGTTTGATCTGTGTACAGGTTTATTATAAAATATCTTTGAAATGGGTATAAAATGTTATTAAATCTGTCTCATACTTCTTCTTTATTCACCTCTAGCGTTTATTTCAGCTTGTAGCCCTGTAGGTTCCCATCTACATCTTGTTACTTGAAGTGCCTTTTTATGCCAGCTTTTAATTTTACCTATTAAAGAATATTTTTCCGTCTTTATTCCACACTTAATCTGTCAAAATCATTTTTGTTTTCTTCCTCCATTTTTCCATTGTAACATCTTTGGTACAGTTTCCTACTCTGCCTGCTAATTATTGCTCTACTAGCTAACAACCCCATTCCTACCTTTCAGTACTCTCTACATTATTGGAAATGGTAGAGAGGTAGAAGACTGTGAACACAGTAGTAGAGAACAGCAGCTTTAGTGGCATATGGGCTTCTGGATTCCTTGTTTAGTTGCTGCAGTAGCAAGATTGCAACAGCAGTAGCATCTCAAGATCTGGGCTTGGCCCTCTGACCAATTGGACTTGAACTCCATGTTGCCCTTATTGCTATAAAAAATGGCACACTGCTTGCCCATAGAGTACAGGAGCAAAATAGTTGTTTAAATAATCAACCTAAAATCACCTGAATGTACCAAACCCACATTTACATCTTTGAAGGACTGTTTTCTGGGATTACCGTGCTACCAAATGTGTATTAGGTGGTGCCCAGTCAGTATAACAGAAATCACTATTTCAAACAGGGAAGGCTTAATCTTCGGAATCTGTTGCGGTCATACTGGAAGGGCACAAAGAGATTACCCAGATATCAGTAAACTGCTCGGTAGCCTCAGAGCTGGCACCAGCTGGCACTTGCCCCTGATGCTGCTGAGGGCTCTGGCTGTCACCACTGCTGCTTCAGGTGAAATGCATTGATGCTGCCGAGCAGGAGCCCAGGAGTCCGCAGCTCTGGCCGCTGATGGCGATGTCTGTCTTTTACATCTTTTATCTTCTAGAGTAGCCATTCTCAACTTTATGGTCTTGGGATCCTTTTCCTCTTTCATCTTTTATTTACCAGTCTTTCCGTTGATACCCTGCTTCTTTAAATTTGACTTCTTGGCCTTCTGTAATACCACTCTTCTTTCTTTCTTTTCTTTTTTTTTTTTTTTTAAAGAGAGAGAGAGAAACATTGATTGGCTGCCTCCTGCACGTCCCCCACTGGGGATTGAGCCCAAAACTCGGGCATGTGCCCTGTCTGGGAATCAAACCAGGACCGCTCAGTCAATGGGACAATGCTTAATCTACTGAGCCACACCGGCCAGACCCACTCTGTTCTTGGTCCATATCTCTGACTTCCTTCTCAGGCTTTCTAGTTAATTCTTTTTGTTTTACCTGGCCCTTAAGTATATGCATTTTTTATGGTTCTGCTCTAGGCTTAGTTCAAAGTTCAAACAGTGGGAATGGCAGATATGCTATATACTATATAGAATTACCATATACTATACTAGAAGGATTCCTAAAAATTTAACTCTGGTGCACATCTTCCTTTGAGCTCCTGGACTCATTCTTTAAACTGCCAACTAGAAAAGCTATAACCTCCACAAACTCTTTAGGTTCCAATGGACTCATCTTTTATTCTACCATCTGATTCTTCTTTGTTCCCTTCCTTGCTTATATCATCATCCACCCTCTACCAAAACATTGGCATCATCCTTGACCCTCGGTCTCTTGGCCCAGTGAGCCCAGGAGTCCTGTTTCTTCTTCCCAAGGTCTCTGAAGTATTTGTTTCTTCCGCCATTAAATTACCCTAGTTTATGTCCTTACCTCACTGATATTCTTGAATTACCTGCTTCTAACTGATCTATTCTCTGCCATAGTGGACCTTCTAAAAGGTACATCTAATAAGGTCATTGTTGGTTCATTTCATAGTTCCTAGGTGACCTAGAAGATAAGTTCAAAGGTTCGTCGTCATTACTTTTTTAGCCTCTTTAGCTCTGTCTTTTGTTGTTCATTGTCCCTAATTTTCTATGAGTCATTTGACTTTGTACTTCTAAGATCTAAAAAATGTCAAACTGCTTATAGGCATTTCTTTTTTTCTTTCTTTCTTTTTTTAGTCCTCACCTGAGGACATTTTTGCATTTATCTTCAGACAGCAGGAAGGAGAGAGGGAGGAACAGAGAGAGAGAAACATCGATGTGAGAGAGACACATCGAGTGGTCGCCACCCACACGACTCCAACTGGGGCCGGGGACAAACTGTAACCGAGGTACGTGCCCTTGGTGGGAACCAAGCCTGGGTCTCTCTGGACCGTGGGCTGATGCTCCAAACGCTGAGCCAAACCAGCCAGGGCATTTTTTTTTCTTTCTTTTATTTATAACTTTATTAATTAGGGACCATAATGTTAGAAGACATAGCATAATGAATAGGTGAGGGGCTCTGGAGTCTTGACAGCCTGTGTTTGTGTCTCTGCCCTGTGACTTACCAGCCATTGATACCATCATCACATTATTAATCTCTCTAAGCCTCAGCCTCATTCATCATCTTTAATAGTAGAATAAAATAAACCTTTCTCACAGAGTTACTCCAAGAATTAAATGAGAAACACTGTTAAAATAGTGTAGTTCTGATACTTCAACCACCCTTAATTTTGTTTTTATTAATGCCGATTTCTGTGTCTGGGAACTAGATTACTGAAAGTGTATAGGCACTTGAGTGGCTTTGTGCCAGCAGTATGTCAGTGGATAATTAAATAAAAGTCTTTTGTGGAATGGAAAAGGAAAAGTCATTACTCTAAACAGACTATCAAATGCCAAATTTGCTCAGTGATAAATAGTTTTTTAAACTGTACTTTCATAGCTATTACATACCTTTATTTAAAATTGTGCAGGGAAAAAAATCATTTAACTGATGAATGTCATCTAAGTGTCAGGGAAACTGATGCAAAACAACACTGTCCCTTGTACCTGTGTTCAGATGGGGAAATTAAAAAGGGAAACATAATACAAACCATGATCAAAGAAATCTGGTGTATGTCAAGGTTCTGGGGCAGAAGGAGGTATGATTTCTGAAGTAAACTGGAGAAGATCAATGTAGTTGAAGTGTGGTATGTAGAGGATTCTTGAGGGTTAAGAGCCCGAGATGAGATGAGCTTACTCCCTTCCCTTCCCTTCCCTTCCCTTCCCTTCCCTTCCCTTCCCTTCCCTTCCCTTCCCTTCCCTTCCCTCCCCTCCCCTCCCCTCCCCTCCCCTCCCCTCCCCTCCCCTCCCCTCCCCTCCCCTCCCCTCCCCTCCCCTCCCCTCCCCTCCCCTCTCTCTCCTTCTCCCTATCCTCACCCAAGGATTTGTTCATTGATGAGAGAGAGAAACATTAGTAAGTTGCCTCCCATACACACCCTGATTAGGATCGAACCCACAGCTGTTTTGGTGTATGGGCCAACGAGCCATCTGGCCAGGCTGAGGTTTTCTTTTTTAAAAGCTTGCGTTTGCAGCTAGCTAAAGAATGGATTGTAGACTTTGGGGCAGGCGAGGAGGAAGCAGTTTATAATCATACTAGCAATTATTTTAGACTGGTCTTAAGTGAAGGCTCTGGAAAAAAAGGAAACCTAGAGGAGTTTGGGATAAAATTTAGAGAAAGGATATGACCTGTTAGGTGTACTATAATAGATAAGATATGGAAGCAGGGAAAAGGGAATTGAAACCACTGAGATTTCTGGTTTAAGTACTTGGATGGATAGCGGCGCTGTTTATTGAAGTGGAGGTGGCAGATAATGGGACACATTGAGGAGGAAGTCTTTAGAGATCCAAAGTCATACATTGTAATGGTTTAGGAGTGAGTGGAATGTGAAGTGGACACAGTATGCGCAGACAGCTATGGCTGTGAATGGAAGAGAGCAGACAAATGGACCAGTTCTCTCTCTCTCTCTCTCTCTCTTTTTTAATCCTCACCTGAGGACATTTTTGCATTTATCTTCAGATAGAGCAGGAAGGAGAGAGAGAGAAACATCGATTTGAGAGACACATCAACTGGTTGCTACCCACACGACCCCAACGGGCCAAGGACAGACTGCAACCATGGTACATGCCCTTAGTGGTAATCGAACCCAATACTCTCTGATCCGTGGGCCAACACTCTAACCACTGAGCAAAACCAGCCAGGGCTCTCTTTTTTTGGTTAATCCTCACCCAAGGATATTTTTTCATTGATTTTTAGAGAGAGTGGGAGGGAGGGAGGGAGGGAGAGACACATCAGTGGTTACCTCCTGCCCGACCCCATTTGGGGCCAGGGATGAAACCTGCAACCCAGGTACATGCTCTTGACTGGGAATCAAACCCACTACCCTTCAGTCCATGAGCCAGTGCTCTAACCACTGCGAGCAAAACTGGCCAAGGCATGGACCAGTTCTTGAAAGAGGAATTGGAATGTGATCAAGGAAGGCATGACTTGGTTTTAGAGTGACATTCGAGGACACAGTTAACGGCTGATCAAGATAATTACGTGGAGGGGAAAGGTGGGAGATGGACAAGAATGGTACCGAAAACACAGGTGGAGGAGAAGATGGCTTAAGTGAGGTAAAAAGTGACTTAACTGGGTTACAGTGCTTTGGTCATTGTACCAGCTTTGTATGATACGTGAAATTCTAACTTCCTAGCTTTTAACCTCCTTTTTCCCTCTGCTTTTATAATAAAAGGTGTCAAAAGAAAGCTGAAGTTATTATGGCAGACTCAGTTGCTTAAAATGCTCCTCTTGTTTTCAAGTCATTTCATCTGTCTCCTCTCCCAGGTTGCTTTCCCTGACCCACTAATTCTATCCTATATTTATGCTACATTTGTACCTGATATTTTTATTGTACTTATTAAACATACTATGTTAGTTTTCTATTGCTACTGTAACAAGTTACCACACATTTAGTGATATAAAACAACACAGATTTATTATTGTATAGTACTGTAGGTTAGAAGTCTGACAAGGGGCTGGACAAAAATCAAAGGACTAAATCACTGGCCTAAAATCAAGGCTGCATTAATTCTTTTCTGGAATTCCAGGGAAGGATTTATTCTGTGTCCTTTCAGCTTTGAGAGGCTACCCACATTTCTTGTCTCATAGCCTTTTCCCCCATCGTCATCAAAGCAGCATAGCATTTCTTACTCTGCTTTTCTCTCTTCCTTACATCTGTTTCTCTGACCCTCTTATCTGCTTCACTTCTATGTTTAAGGACCCTTGTATTGGGCCCACTCAGATAATCCAGGATAATTTTCCTATTTTAGCTGATCAGCAACCTTAATTTCCCTTTCCAGGTAACCTAACATATTTGTCTATTCTAGGGATTGGCATGGGTGGGAGGCATTATTCATTCTACCTATCACATATATGTTGTAGTTTATACTGTTATTCATCTTTGTATTCTTAGCTCTGTAGTACCTGAAACATTGTATACATTCAAGAAGTGTACGAGAATGTTTGACATACGAGAATGTTTGACATTAAATGTTCCCTTTCTTTTCCCTCTTCCCACCCATGCTCCCACCTTTTTGTAGTGACAGGTCAGTCTTATGAGAATATGGTAACTGAGATCATGTCAATGGGCTATGAACGAGAACAAGTAATTGCAGCCCTGAGAGCCAGTTTCAACAACCCTGACAGAGCAGTGGAGTATCTTTTAATGGTGAGAAACATTTTACTTCTTCATTGTAGTTTAAGGCCAAAATCCCAAAGAAACAAAGATTTTAAAGGAGCAGTAACATAGGAGAATAATTTATATGCTAGATAATTTATATAATTCTTTATCTTCTTAACATGTTCACATTTTGTGTTGATAAAATGACCTCTTCTAAAAGATTATGGTATGATTTTTTTTGTTACTAAACAACATGGCTAACTGAGTTGTAAAGTTGGCTGTCCATTTGGAGTAGATCCTTCTATCCCAGTTATGTCATCCTCAAAGGCTGGTAGTTGTGTGTTGGGCGGTGTGGGTGAAGATTTCTTTTTCATGTAATGTAATCTAACATTTTTGACTGCCAGCATAATCCAGGATGTACTATTTAGAGCAAAAGTTTCAAGTCAGAAGCCCAACCCAAGTTTTATTTTACTTATAGTCTAAATTTTTGTAATTAATTACTAACTTTTAAAAATTGGAAGATTTGGGCCTGGCTGGTTTGGCTTAGAACATTGGCCCACAGACAAATGAGTTGCAGGTTCGATTGTGGCCAAGGGCATGTACCTCAGTTGTGATTCATTCCCAGCCCTAATTGGGGTCATATGGGAGGCAGCTACTCCATGTGTCTCTCTCACATTGATGTTTCTCCCTCCCTCCCTCCCTCCCACTCTAAAGATAAATGGGAAAATATCCTCAGGTGAGGATTTAAAAATTTTGGGGGGGAGAGATTTGACTTAAATTCAGATAATCTGAATTATCTGGACAAGTTGGATCTTAAATTTTTGCAAATGATTAGGAAAAGTTTTATATATTTTTTAAATTGTTTAAAGGATATCTTCACTATCCACTCTTTTTAAAAATACATATGTTTTTATTAATTTTTTAGAGAGAGAGGAAGGGAGAGATAGAAACATCAGTGTGAGAGAGAAACATTGATTGGCTCCTGCACATCTCCCACCAGGAATCGAGCCCATAACCTGGGCATGTGCCCTTACTGGGAATCAAACCTCTCAGTCCTTGAGACAATGCTCAATTCACTCTCTTCCCTTTCATTCATTGTTACCTGACATAGTATTATTCATTTAATTTAACATATGATATTACTTGCCTGGTTCCATTGACATTTGAATTGTTAGTTTGTTTATAGTTGGTAACAGCTGAGTCGATTTTGAATAAGTTACTGTTTTTTTACTAGCATAAAGGTTTTTGAGAAATAGGTTGTTGTGAGCATGGACTAAAACCCTTGATATTTTATGACAATGTCTTTTAGTTTTACAGATGTGGCACAGGCTAAAGTAATAGCATAGAATTTTGGAATAACATTAGATTGTTATTATTTTTTTTTTAGTCTTAACATTTTATTTTATAATTGTCTGGTGTTTTGAAGTATCATCAAAGTCTGAATTGCCCTGAATATCATCCATGATCCTAACTCAGGGAAATACAGTCCACAGTTTAACCAAATTCCTTAGTTTCCTGATTGTTAGAAACGCCTTTTCAGATAGTAGTTTCAGGAGAGCCAGTTAGGAGCGAATAAATGCTCTGCCTCCACCAGTTATTTTCGCATGTATTTGCATGTGAGATTCACCAAATCTTTTCTTAGCACAGCGGTTCTCAGCCTGTGGGTTGCGACCCCTTTGGGGGTCGAATGACCCTTGCACAGGGGTTGCCTAAGACCATCGGAAAATATATGTTTCCGATGGCTATTCATAACAGTAGCAAGATTACAGTTATGAAGTAGCAACAAAAATAATTTTATAGTTGGGGGTCACCACAACATGAGAAACTGTATTAAAGGGTCACAGCATTAGGAAGGTTGAGAATCACTGTCTTAGCACATCATTTTATCTTTTGAATGCTCTTTTCCATTGTCCTCTTGAAGAGAGTCTTTAAAATGCTGGTAGTTCATTTTATTAATTTGTTTGGAATTGAAGAATCATATTGGATTGATAATCACTGTGGATCTGTTTGAGGTTACTGCTCCATCCCATTCCCCCAAACTCCATATATAAAGTACCGCCTTATATAGAATGGCTTTAATTTATACCTGATTTGGAATTCTACATCAGTTTAATAGAATTAGATATTTTGATCTAATAAATTTGAAACTTTAAGGCATAGATAAATGAATTACTATTCTCAAAGTTGCTACTACTATTTAGCATCAACTACAAATGAATAGATGAGAGATAGGTTCATTAAATAGTTTAAAGTGTTTCTGATGTTTACTGATTGTTTCATAGACTGAGGGTGGGGGCTACCTTTAATTGTTACTAGTTTTTTAGACCTGCATAAGTGAGGGTGAATGGATGGAAAGAAGAGATACTGATCTAACAAAAGGCTAATTACAATCTGAGAGTTTGAGGTAGATCTGTAACAGTGATGATTTAACTTTTTTGTTTTAACAAATCTGAGAATTTGAGAGCAGCTTTGGACCCTCAATCTGTTTGTGGTTTGTTAGCACTTAATAGCTGCTCATCCGAGGGTTTGAATTGATGGACTTGCTCAAAAGCATTTGTTTTCAATGCCCGAAGTGACATTTAATGCAGGCAGCCATTACCGTGCTGTTCATTACCCTTAATGCTTTTTTTTCTCGTTACAATCAAAATACACTATTATATTAGCTTCAGGTGTATAACAGTGATTAGACATTCATATACTTACAAAGCCTTAATTCTTTATATGTCTGCAATTTTGGCTTCTGATTTATTGGGAAATGGAAACATTTACTATTATAATTTCTTATTTAAATGTAATATTTTCTTTATTCTCCTTCCAAAATCTGTGAAGATTTCTTTCTTTATTTTGTTACTCCTCATCCAACGGTATTTTTCCATTTTTTTATTGTTTTTTTTTTTTTTAGATAGAGTGGAGGGAGGGAAGGAGGTAGAAAGAAACATCTATTGGTTGCCTCCCACACAACCCCAGCTAGGGCGGGATCAAACCTGAGACCCTTTGGTCTGAGGGCTGATGCTCTAACCCCTGAGCCAAAGTGGTCAGGGCAAGACATTTTTAATAAGTTGTATATGAGAAGTTTTACAAGTCATTTGCATCAAAATGCAAACTCTTAGTGCAGTTTTAAGTTATAGTAACTTTAAAACATAAATGCTACAAACTTAGAGTATCACCTAAATAATTATTTAAGGTTCTCTTATTCATACTATTTGTGTAAGTTTTGAATAGTGGATTTTCATTGGCTCTGTAGAGGAGATCCTCCTTTCTTGGTCACTGTTATCACCTGCTCAGTCTAAAGGAGACTGAGGTCATTTTTTTTCCTGAGGTCATTTCATAACTGCCATGCATACATCAAAACCTCTTTCTTTGGATGATCTTAAAGCTAGGTACAAATGTGGTTTTTTCTAAATTACAGAATCCCTTTATACCTTAGATCTGTGCTGTCTCTAGTAAGGTAGCTATTAACTACAAGTAGCTATTTAAATTTAATAAAATTAAAAGTATATTCAAATTTTAGTTTCTGAGTAACAATAACTACATTTCAAGTTCTCGAGTAGCTATATATGGCTATTTTATTGACAGCTATAGAATTATTTCCATTATGGAAAGTTATGTTGGACAGTGCTGCCTTATATGATAGAAATATGGGTTCTTCTATACCATACTCAGGCTATTTGTAATCCAATTTAAATATATGTAGTTTTCAGATAAGATTCTTTACTTTGTAAAAATTTTTTTTAATTTATTGATTTTTTTTAGAAAAGGAAGGAGGGAGAAAGAGAAATATCGATTTGTTGTTCCACTTAGTCGGCATTCATTGATTGTTCCTTATATGCCCTGACCAGGGATCACATCCCACAACCTTGGCATATCAGATGCTCTAGCCAACTTAGCTAGCCAGACAGGGCTTGATTCTTTACTTTTAAGAATTCTTTTTTTTTTTTTTTTTAAATATATGTTTATTGATTTTTTTATTTATTTATTTTTCTTTAGAGAGAGAGGAAGGGAGAGATAGAAACATCGTGTGAGAAACATAGATCGGCTGCCTCCTGCATGCCCTTTACTGGGGACCAAGCACACAACCCAGGCATGTGCCCTAACTGGGAATCAAACTGGGACGTCTCATTCCGTGGGAGGATGCTCAATCCACTGAGCCACACCGACCAGGCTTGATCCTTTACTTTTAATTGAAGGAGACATGTTTGATGCTTTTGGAAATTAGACAAGGATATTAAATATATTAATATATCTTTTATTCTGTATAGTTAACCGACTTTAAATGATGAGATATTTAAAGCTTGGAAATTGTATTATAGGGAATCCCTGGAGACAGAGAAAGTCAGGCTGTGGTTGATCCCCCTCCAGCAGCCAGTACTGGACCTCCTCAGTCTTCAGTGGCTGCAGCTGCAGCAACTACCACAGCAACGACTACAACAACAAGTTCTGGAGGTAAAGTGGAATCTTTCTGATGGGGAGGAAGTTGTCCTGTAAAATAATTTAATTTGAAATATTTTGGTGTGCTGTTTATTTTCATAGCATTTGGAATAACTCCTAAAACACATTCTCTGTTTATTAATGTTAGAAGAAAGGCCCAAAAGAAATTCTACTGAGTATATATAAAAGGTAGTCTTGCTTATATTAAGCATCATTGCTGCAGTTTTGGTGAAGGGCATAATCTAAGGAAGAGGTGCTTCCCAATTTGCATTCCTTGTTACATTCTGAGGCCATTTCAAATGGTTTGCTTGCCTTGTCTCTTCCTCTCCTTATAAATGTCTTAAAGTATGTATAATTTCAAAGCCAGTAGTGTCTTAGTGGTTATTGTGCAACCAAGGAAATAAAACCTCAAAGGGTTTAAAATCTTATGTCTAGAGGTGAAAGTAAATTTGAATTCAAGTGTCTATTGGCCGACACCCCCGTTTTTATTGCCAAACGTTTGACTACAAGGCAAAAAGCCTAGACTTCGGTAGGCTCAAGAATTACTTAGTGTTCTCTCCTTCGTTCATTCTTCTGTATATTGATAAAGTATTCACTGTTAATTTTGAAGAGGCCATTCTTTGATGCGTTTTCTAGCTCTAATTATAGCAGTCAACTCTCATTGACAATAATTTCTAAGCACTTTGTGTACAGTCTCCCAGAAGACGGGCTTTTCATTTCTTGAGAATTAGCATGGGAATGGAAAGAGAAGGCCACGGCTTTGTTCAGATTGAGGATGCTGTCCCATTCAGCAGCAGTAACTTAGTTTCTGAGGCATATGAAACTTTCTTCATCTGTAAAACTGCTGTTGCCCAAAGAAGAATAAATATTTGTTATGTGGTCATTTTAATTTGAATGATTGTCTTGAATTAAAATTTAGGAAATAACATCTAAAAAATTCTTATTATTCATTAGTAATCTCAAAAACACATTTCTTTTGTATGCAGTTTTTTATTTTGTATAGCATAATCAGACAAACCACCACCCCAAAAAGTCACAAGTTCTAGATCTTACACCTTATTTGGCATTATTAATATTTATTATTATAAAGGGACCTTGGACTAAAGAATTCTAAATGTATTAATAACTAGATTGTCTTGTGGCTTGTTTATCTCAAGTTTTTATAGACTATAAATGTTTTAAATTTGGTAGTAATAATAAAAAAAAATCTTGTAACCGTAATTCAGTTGGTATTAAAACTCCATCTGATCTGTGAACCTGAACTCTTAACTTTTAATTATTAAATACAAAGGTTGGCAAAAGTAGGTTTACTGTTGTCGGTACATGAAACAACGTTTTTGTATTATTATTTATTTATTTGTATTTTTCCATGTGAACAACTGTAAACCTACTTTTGTCCACTGGTTTCAAATTTCCTAGAAGTTAAAGGTTGGATTGTTTTGGGGGTTTTTGTTTGTTTTTTGTTTTTTCCTTAGTCCCATTATATATTTTTCTTGGGGACTTTGAGCAACAGGAACAAATTATAGTACTTTTTATTTTTCTAGAATACATGCAGAGCACATTGATAATTACTTGATAATACTGAGTACCCAGGGCAGTTGTAGGAAAACACCTTTCTTTCAGTGTTCTATACTACTGTTCTTTGCCAATGGGGAATAGTTTCTATAGCATGAGACTTGGAATTTGGTAGACTGAAGATTTTGTCATTATTTCCTTTGTATAAATCTGAGAACTCTTTTTTTTTACTTTCCAGTATCTGCTATCTAAATTATGATTGAACCAGCTCTTTGCATATGTAATTGCTACTTTTGTTGAACAACGTTTATGTGTATTTTAGGACATCCCCTTGAATTTTTACGGAATCAGCCTCAGTTTCAACAGATGAGACAAATTATTCAGCAGAATCCTTCCCTGCTTCCAGCATTGCTACAACAGATAGGTCGAGAAAATCCTCAGTTACTGCAGGTGACTATTTAACCAGTGTTAATTTCAGAAGTAGATTTAGAGTATGTCATATTTTTTAAAAGTTCATGAGCGATCCTTTCCATTCACCCACTCTAAAGCATTCTTCTAAGTTTCCTTCAGTAGAATATGCTATATAAATGTACTGGAAAAGGAGTTGGGGGTGGAGGTTAGGTTAATTTAAGTTGGTCAAATAATAAATTTGGGAAACACTTTATTAAAGAATCTGAGAGAAACTCTTCAGCAAAGAAATTGTTTAACTTAAGTCTTTTTTCCTGCCCCATAGAAAACATATTCATGGGCTTAATGAATGCTTAAATCACAAAGTATTTGAGTTTTGGACATCGTTACTGCCTGCTAGTGTGGAAGACATATAAGTTCTGTTTCTTATAGTTGTCAAGCAGTTTTTTAACATTTGATTTTATTTTGGCAGGGTACATTTATGAAAGAGAATTTGAATTATCTTAATCACTGTTTACCTCACTCAAAAGAACTCAACTTCTTTAATAATATACAAGGAATCATATCCTTCCAAAGACTAAATAATCTAGAATTATTCTAAAATATTACAGTTGCAATGTTATAGCTTCTCTTTTATTTGTATTTAGAATTCTTATTTTCCAGAAGATACTTTATATCAATGTATTGTTTTTCTCTGTCCTTCAAATCACCACAGCAAATTAGCCAACACCAGGAGCATTTTATTCAGATGTTAAATGAACCAGTTCAAGAAGCAGGTGGTCAAGGAGGAGGGGGTGGAGGTGGCAGTGGAGGAATTGCAGAAGCTGGAAGTGGTCATATGAACTACATTCAAGTAACGCCTCAGGAAAAAGAAGCTATAGAAAGGGTGAGTTTAAGTAAAACTAACAGTTCAGTTCTTCAGTCACAATAGTCACATTTTACAAGCTCAGTATTCATGGAGCTAGTGGCTACTGCATTGGATAACACTGATACAGAGTATTTCCATCACAGGAGGTAGTTCTTTTAGAGCCAAATAGAGCATTGCCCCGAGGAATTGCAGTAAAGGCAAGCTTTTCTCAGCCATGTTCTTCCATCTTGTTCTTTGTGAAGTGGAGGGACCAGCATTGAATACCATTCCAGCATGAAATAGCTATAACTGCATTAAGAAACTAAAAATTTTCATTGATGTTTTAAAATTCAGGAAGAAAATGATCTTTAGGTGTGTACCCAATTTAAAATTATCCATTTTTAAATTTATATTTTGACTTTATTACTGTCACTAAAATGTAAAATAAATATGTGTATAAATTATATAAAAAATGTACAGTAAAGATCAGAACTTGCTATCCTGATTCACTTCCCATTCTTACCAGGTCAACCAGTGTAGTTCGTGGCGCTCCTGTAGCCTAGGTTTTATACTATGACTAGGCATTCATTCTCTGGCCCCACTGTTGACATTTGTAAATAAGGAATCATAGTACTTGCTCTGTTTTACAGAGTGTTCTGGAATTTGATAAAATGCATTTTAACTTAATACTTAGAAAACCATCTGGACAGTAATGTGTCCTTGTTTATGATATAAACATATAAAGGTTTGTAATTATGTCTTTTTTTTTTCAATCCTCGAGTACATTTTTCTATTTATCTTCAGATAGAGTGGGGGGGGGGAGAGAGAGAGAGAGAGAGAGAGAGAGAAAGAAACATCAACATGAGAGGGACACATCTACAGGTTGCCTCCTGCACAATCCTGACCAGGGCTGCGGACAAACCGCAACCAAGGTGCGTGCCTTTGGCAGGAATTGAACCCTAGACTCATTGATCTGCAGGCTGACAGTGTAACCGCTCAGCCAAACCGGCCAAGGCAATTATGTATTTTTTAAAAGACACTTTATATATTGAGCTGGTATTTTCCCCCCTCAAGTAACATAAATGAGTAAATGACATTTGCCTTAATTGTTCTAGAGCAATATTTTTTGAGGTTAGGGTTATCAGTTCTTGATTTCTGTGTTGAAGAACTTTTTTTTTTTTTTTTTGCTTGTGTTTTTAATGTCATACTAGGAACGTTGCCTAATACAAGGTTAAAAGATTTACTGTTGCTTTTCTCTGAAGAGTTTATAGTTGTTATTACATTGAGGTTTGTGATCCATTTTGAGTTACTTTTTGTTTATGGTGTCTAGCTGCATTCTTTTGCATCTGGTTCTCCAGTTGCCACAGCACCATTTATTAAAAATACTACTCTTTCCCCACTAAGTTGTCTTGACATTCTTACTAAAAATCAATTGACCATAAATGTGAGGGTTTATTTCTGGGCTCCTTGGTGTGGATAGGGATGGATTCATGTAAAATTCTCAAGAGCTTTTGTGTGTTTTATAGTAACTTTTCAAGTAATAATTGGTCATTCAATAGTTCTATGCTGCAATGATATGTTTTCTTTCTTTTCTTCCAGTTAAAGGCATTAGGATTTCCTGAAGGACTTGTGATACAAGCATATTTCGCTTGTGAGAAGAATGAGAATTTGGCTGCCAATTTTCTTCTACAGCAAAACTTTGATGAAGATTAAAAGGGACTTTTTTTTTTTAAATCTCACACTTCACACCAGTGCATTACACTAACTTTGTTCACTGGATTGTCTGGGATGACTTGGGCTCATATCCACAATACCTGTATAAGGTAGTAGATTGCTGGGGGTGGGAGGGGGGATCTAGGACATAGGGCAGGGATGAATACAGTGCATGTCTGCTTCAATTAGCAGATGCTGCAGACCCACACCGTGTGTAAAACAGACAACCAAAAATCAGCTTTGCAGGTCTTTATCTCTTGTATAAAACAGTAGGTAACTTCCTAGATTTCACTCTTTTTAGTGTACTAGATCCAGAAATTTAGTGTAATGCCCTGCTTTATATTTCTTTGACTTAACATTGGTTTCAGAAAGAATCTTTGCTACCTTGAATCTACAGTCTCTATTTCATGGCAACACTGGATAATGGCTTTATGAAATTGAAAAAAATTGGAACAACTATAAGTAGAAATGCCAAATAATTGATGGTTATTGTTGCTGCTTCAAATAAGTATAAAATTAATGTCAAGAAAGCCCATTCTTTCATGTTAAATACTTGGGGTGGGAGAGGGAAGAAGGGGAACCTTTTCTTAAAGTGAAAATAATTACTGCTATTTTAAAATCTCTTGATCATTGAATGTGAGACCCTTCTGACATGATTTGAGAAGCTGTACAAGTATAGGCAGAGTTATTTTCCTGTTTACATTTTTTTTTTTTTTTTTTTGGTTTGTTTGGGGGAAAATTGGTAGGTGTCTGATTACTGTTTACTTCCTTGTTATATTGCAGTAAAAGTTTTAAAACCACCATTGCATGTTTGCTTTTGATGTGACCCTTTGTGGAGTTAGCACTTTGGGGCCCATGGAAAAATGCAGATTCACTCTCCCTCTCGTCTCTTTCCTCAGCAGAAGTGCTTGTCACAAGTTGTGAGTTCCAACTGCTGCCTTTTTTAAAGCCCACAAAATGCTGATTCAGTGCAAGATGAATGCAAATGTTTCAAAACTGGGTTTCTGATATTTGTACATGTTTTTCCTTATTAGATAAGAATGTATGACCATTAAATTGCTTTCAAAAAGAGAAGGTGGTGGACAGAATTATAATCCAGCATCTTTTATTGGAAAGACTGATGAAATCTTTTGGAAGGGTTGGGAGATGAGGCTGGAAAAATACTTTGGAAAATACACAATCAAGATATCTCATGGCATATTAAAAGAAAAATCTTAATAGCAGTGTTGGCTTTTATTTGGATTTTTTTCATCTCAGTTTTTTCTTTGGAATCTCCTTCATTGGCATTGTTATTTGATCATAAAGAGGGGGCAGATGTCTACTTGTTCAGTTTTTCAAATCTATTTTCTTGAATATAAACAAGACTATTTAAAGAAATGTTTTCCTACCATCTGATAACTGAGTTAAGAAGATGAATTTGCACAGATTTCCCCCTGCATATCCTTAGCACTGTTTGGTGATGACTTTTAAGCTTTTACGTCGTGCTCTCGTAACCTATCTCCTTTGAAAATAGGTGAAACCATGATTTCTCCCAACAATGTTAATCATGTAGTTTAATCTTCATGTGTTTATTCCATAAATGCCGCAGGTCTTTGGACTTTATATTACCTGTATGTTTTATAATGAATCATGCAAAATATCTCAGGAGAATAAAATGAGAATTTGTAAATATGTTCATCTTTCAAGGCAGAGGGGTTGGAAAGGGGTGGCATTTCTGGTCGCATTATGGAATACTTTTATGACATTTTATCTGCTACCTTATTGCTCACAGATAGCGAAAACTGGAAAAAGGAAAAACAAAAAACAGCAGCCTCTTCCTTACTCTGGAGAGTGACAGCAGAAGTTGGTGGCATGGAGCTTTTGCCCTTGGACAACAAAACTGCAAATAGTGGGATTAATGATTACCAGAGGACAATTCAGGCCAAGTGTTGACCATTCTTTACAATACCTTGTTTATCTGCTCAAAAGAACCAGACAAGACGCTATGAAAGAAATAGGCTTTTTGTAACCTTTTACTGTTGTCTTTTAATTTACAGTTTTGGTAAATCTCTTAATGTAAGTGACTATTCGACTTTGGAATTTTGCATTTGAGGTATTATGTCATCTATTCCTTGAAATGTTTTATTGTTTAGTTGCTCTATGGAAAATGTGAGGAAGCTTAAGTTTATATTTGTTAAAATCGTATTGCCATCCTCAAGTCAAATATGTCTACATTGTTTAAAAATACTGAAGTGTTCCATCAAAAAAAATTTTTTTTCCTGTACTAGATGGCTAGGATTCTAGAGAATTAATTATAAAATATTTTCAATACATCCAAGATTGCATTTCTCATTTTTTAAGTGATTTAGCCATATGAAAATCTAAGGTTGAAAGTTGGTAATGCCTGTCACTGATCCTTCTGTTTTAGTGAATGGTGAAGGTTGGTAGCAAGTAGAAGGCCAGGCACTAGATCAGTTTTATTAGGTCTCCTGTTTGTTTTCTCAGCTAAAGCATCAAAACAGAACTGGGATACCTGTTGGGATATAAATGAAGTTTCATGACAGCTTTTAGAGATTTCATTATCCCTATTTTTCCCATACTTTGTATCTTACAGCAGCCATCCTAAGGCTGCTACAAAATATTCAAGCAAATGTCAGCAATTTCAGGGAGTAAGGACTTCCTGATCAAGTCTATTCTGGTGAGTTCCCCTGCCAGGAGGCTCATTTGTTCATTCAGGTGACCTCCCCTGTCCATTCTGTTTTACTTCGTTCTATGCCAGGAGCTGGCAAACTACAGTCCTATGAGCCAACCCTGGCTCACTGCCTGTTGTATGTTCCATAAGCTAAGAATGGTCTTTACATTTTAAAATGGTTTTTAAAAAATATGGTATATGAGCCCTGGCCGGTTTGGCTCAGCGGTTAGAGCATTGGCCTGCGGTCCAGAGAGACCTTGGTTCAGTTCCTGCTAAGGGCACGTACCTAGGTTGCAGTTTGTCCCCGGCCCTGGTTGGTCGTGTGGGTGGCAGCCACTCGATGTGTCCCTTTCACGTCGATGTTTTTCTCTCTCTCTTTCTTCCTCTCCTTCCCTCCCACTTTATCTGAACATAAAATGGAAAAATGTCCTCTGGTGAGGATAAAAAAAATACATATATGGTATATGAAAATTATCCAAGTTTCAGTCTCCATAAAGAGTTACATTGAAACACAACCATGCTCATTTGGGTACATATTATCTATACCTACTTTTATGCTCTGGAGGTTTGATGTTAAATAGTTGCAACAGAGCCTGGCCGGTTTGCTCAGCGGCTAGAGCGTCTGCCTCCGGTCTGGAGAGACCCGGGTTCAGTTCCCGCTAAGGGCATGTACCTCGGTTGCAGTTTGTCCCCGGCCCTGGTTGGTCGTGCGGGTGGCAGCCACTCGATGTGTCCCTTTCACATCAATGTTTCCCTCTCTCTCTCTTCCTCTCTCTCCCTCCCACTCTGTCTGTACAAAAAATGGAAAAATGTCCTCGGATGAGGATTAAAAAAAAAAAAAAAAAGTTGCAACAGAGGCTAAAGCATGCAATGCCTAAATAATTATTGTCTGGCCCTTTACAGAAAAAGTTTGTTATTCCTGTTCTGAACTGCGACTAGCCCGTCATATGTTAAATTATATGATGCTTTTTTTTCCTTCTGGGCATTCTTGGCCTTTTGACTTCAGGTCTTAGCTTCAGCTGGATTTGTTTGTTATTATCACAGGTTCTTTCCAGAGGAGTGGTATCACCCCCACACCTGCACTGATTAAGGAGCACTGTGTGCCTCATGTGCTGACCTAGAATGTATATGGTGTCTTGATACTATTTTTTGCTGTTGCTACACTATTTCTTGTTCTTGCAGGAAGGAAATGAAATTCAGTATTAAATGTACTATCAAAAGCAACTGTCATAGTGATGAATCAGTCAGAACAAAAAAGATGACTCCTTGGGCCTTGGGATCAGAGTTGGGGCAGATGAGCAGCTAGAAAAAGAGTGGGTGGAACCCTAGAGGGAGAAGTGTAGCAGTTGGACCTGTTTGGGTGGCAGACTAGTTTCCAGAACTGTGTGTAGGTAGTGGTGCGGGCGGTGAAGAGCCAGGGAGTTGAAGACTTGGACTTGCTAGGAGAAAGACAGCACTGTGCAGTAAGGGTTTGTGAACCATAGGGGCTGCTGTACTGACAAATAGGTTGTAGAATGCCTTCCCTATCACGATGAGGTTAGATTTGGAAAACTGGTTCCTCAAGTAGGGTTGCACTGGATAGGAGGCCCAGAAATACAGAAATACAGTGATGATGAGTTTGTTTCATATGTGCGGTGCTGCAGATTCCAAAGTAAATGGGAACATAGTCTCTGCCAGTGAGCTTGAAATACCATTGAATAGTAATGAGTCCAATGATAGAAACAGTGTGACTTGTCTTCCTGGAGCACAAATTAGAAAACAGTCAACCAGGCCCAGCCAGTGTGGCACAGTGGTTGGGCATCAACTTCATGCTTTAAGAGGTCGCTGGTTTGATTCCAGGTCAGGGCCCAAGTCCTAGTTGCTAGCTCCATCCCCAGTAGGGGGTGTGCAGGGGGCAACTGATTGACGTTTCTGTCTTTTCAATGTTTCTATCTGTAAAGTCAATAAAAAAAATTTTTTTTTTAAAGAAAAGAAAATAGTCACCCAGACTCCTGCCTCATGTCTTAGTTTTCTATTCTCTAGGTCCTCCTCACCCTTGCCCACCTGGCTCAGAATGAGTTAGAGATAACAGTGCTCTCCAGCTCGTGAGGTGGCTTTTTGGGCACCTGGGGAACCTGGCCTCAACCCCAGCCCCAAGCAGCATTATATTTTTTCTGCAATGTTTTGTACAAGTACTGTGTTTGCCGTGAAGAAAATCCTGCACCTATACTAGCTCTAGATGGGACTTCTTTCTGTTAATGGCCTCCACACCTAAGCATGTGTCTACCATAACTGGTTACTAACTGTAGAATAGTCACTTAAAGGCTTAAAGGATGTTTGGTATGATCCTGGGTTTGGTTATTAACAGCTTCTATATATATAACAGGCCAAAATTATTTCAAAATGCACTTAAAGTTTGGCTGTAAATTACAGGAGCCCATCTGGGTTTTTGCCTGTAATATCAGATTAGAAGAACACTTGATATATTAATTCAACATTGATTGGTTAAAAATTGGATGAGAATTTCCTAGCCCGTGTGGCTCAGTGGTTAAGCGTCGACCCATGCACCAAGAGGTCGCCAGTTCGATTTCCGGTGAGGGTACATGCCCAGGTTGTGGGCCCGATCTCCACTGGGGGGCATGCAGGAAGCAGCCAGTCGATATTCTCTCTCATCGATGTTTCTATCTCCCTTTCCCTCTCTAAAAAAAAAATCAATTAAAAACAAAAATTGGATGAGAATGAATGGGGCAAATGGGGCTATGCCTTAGGGGTTAGGATTCTTGTTTTTTGAATGATTTTATGAACCCTGGAGTGATTTTTGCAACTTTATTGCATTTCAGTCTAGTTTAGGGTTTTTTTTGTTGTTTTGGGTTGTTTTCAAATTTCTTTTTGGTCAGTTAAGCTTGCTTCTGCTTGTTTCATAGCATTTTAACTAATTTTTATATTTTCTTCAGTTCTAAAGAAATGAACTAAAGGAAAGTTAAATATTTTAACAAAATTATTGCTTATTACTACTTTAATTGTAAAATATTTTTATATCTTTAACTTTGGTGTTACCATTTTTACACCATATTTGCATTTTTGCAAAGAGCATTAACAACTTTTTCATTTGTAAACAGTTTCAAACTTTCAGATAAGTTGCAGGAACAGCACAAAGAGCTTCCATTTACCACACACCCCCAAATTCATTTCAGTGTTGCAGTTGATGCCCTTCCTAGCAGAAGGATTCAGTCCAGATTAACATGCTGTGTTTTGTCTCCTTCAATCCATATTCCATTTCAGTCCTTCCTGGACCTTTATGACCTCAACACTTTTCTAAGCACAAGGCAGTTGTTTATAGAACGTCCCTCAGTCTGTTTGGTGTTTCTTCGTGACTCAAATTAGACGTTTTTAGAAGAACCAGAGAAGTGCGGCTGTGCCTTCACCACGTTCCATGGGGCACGGGCTGTCCCATCACTAGTAATGTTCACTTGGATCACGGAGGGTGGAGTCTGCCAGGCGTCCCCACTGAACAGTCCCTGTTTGTCCCTTTGTATTTCTCATCAACATTCTGCCCACCAGTTTTGCTATCCACTAATATTTCTTACCTGAATTAATGCAAAGGTGGTTGCCAAGGGGTAATTTTCAGATTACATAATTTTTTCCACATTTATTAGCTCACGTTCTCCTGTATTCAGACATTCTCTTTCCCCCACTTATAATTGGCTTCTCTCTGGATTCAGATTCCTCTTTTATTCAATGGCATATAATCTAGTACTGCTATTATTTTGATGCTTGAATTGTCCCAGGTCTTGCTGTTGCGTGCATTATTAAAGCTGGCTTCTGTGTTTGGGGTGCCCTTATCACCTCTACACACCTCCTTCCTTTCTGGCACATGATATATTCCAGGCCCCTGTACTGTCTGTGCCCTGTCCCTGGAATTCATCTCTTCGTGGAGCCCTTTCGTGGAGATTATATTCAGAAGCCAAACTTTGTGCTGCTTGTGCTCATGGCTGCTGGAGTCTCACTGCTCCGAAGCCATCTGTCTAAGCTCATAGAAAATAACACACATTTACATCTATATTTCTGTGTCTGTATGTAGGTAATTGAAAACTTGAGTTCATACAGTGGGAGGGGAGGAGAGAGAACCATTGATGTGAGAGAGACAAATGGACTGTTTGCCTCCTGCACGACCCTGACCAGGGCCAGAGACAAACTGCAACCAAGGTACATACCCTTGGCCAGAATTGAACCCGTGACTCTGGTCCTCAGGTCAACACTCTAACTGCTGAGCCAAACAGGCCATGGCTGGGTACCTTTAATTCTACTCCAACACCACAGTTTATCTTCTAGCTTCTCTCTTTCTGTGTTTCCAACTCTCTTGGACAGTGAGAAACGTGGCCCCTCTTATGCTCGACATGTTTCCTTCCTCGTCATCTCCCGTGTGTAACCAGGGCACTCGGCTGCCTTTCTTGTTTGAGTGCTGAGTTGCCACCCTGCTCAACCACTTTCACACAGCTGGGCATTAATATTTTTATTTTTATTTTTTTTGTGGTACGTGC